CCCCTCCATACTCACCTATTCCCAGGGGGATCAGCTTGCACCGCGGGGCAGGGAGAGGCCCTGGCCAGGGGCTCGGGCTCACTGAGGAGCCAAACACACCCAGTGCAGGGGGTCAAGGGGCTCTGCGCTCACTCCCTGCTCAACCTTTTTCACCCCCCATCACACCTCCATCTCCAAGCCGATCTTGAACTTCCAGCAACAACCCCCCAGCGCGTCCCACTGCCCCGAGCCAGCTCCCAAGCAGGTCTCGCCGCTGTGCATCCTGTGAGAGCTGCTCGGGGGAGCTGGAGAGAGGAAAAACCAGCCTGTAAGCAGGTGAGGACAGAGGTGGGTGCAGAGCCCATGGGATCGGACCCCTCCAAGACAGGACTGATCCTGACAGCCCCAAACTCAGCGCAGGGGAGAGGCGGAGGCATCCCCTTCCCGCGGGCACGGCCAGGGCGGAGAGCAGGCAGCAGCACCACCGGGGACACACACACACAAAGGCAAGAAGAAGCACTTGCTTTCACTGAGCGAGGGGATGGATTTGGGCCGGCAGCATGGCAGTAGTTTGAGGAATCGCTGCTTCAGCGCTTTTTTAGTTTGGACTGGCGGGTTGCCTGGAAGAAAGAAGGAGTCACCAAGCAGAAGAGTTAACAAAGCATCAGCCCCCAGTTCTGGCAGGCAGCAGGGTTGGGCACCCGGCGCAGGGCGAGCAGGGCCGGAGGCAGCACATGCAGCGTGAGGCTGGAGGAGCAGAAAGGCAAAGCCTAGCCCAGGCTCTGCTTGGCCTTCCTGCTTCACCCCAGGACAAACCTTCCTGCTTCCCCCCAGGACAACCCCGGCAGTGGAGTTTCCCTCCTCCAGAAGGATCGGAGTGGCAAAGGAGCAACCCTACCCACACCTAGCTCCTCTGCCCCTCCCCATTGGAGCTTGCCAGGAGGCACCCAGGAGCCCAGAGACCCAGAAGGTCCCTGGGTTGGACTCTGCCCTTTAGCCTTGAAGACAAATACCTGCTCCTTGGGGACCCTCCTCGTGGGGTTCTGCAGGGAGGCAGGGTAGGATGAAGCCCAAGAAACAGCTTGTGGCTGAACCAGGGCATTGCATCCTCCCCAAGCTCTGGCTAGGTTTGATCTTGCTGGCACCAGAGGGCTGAAGGCAAGGCATGCACAGAACCCCACCATGCAGCCCAGACTGCAGCATGCACCCCCACCCCAGCGCAGCATCGGGACCTGAGCCTGGGGACCTGCTTTGAGACAGCCAGAAGGGGAACGGGGCTCGAGGCTCATGGCTTTGCCTCGGCCAGGCTACAGGTTGGGGTGAGGGGCTCCCCACACCAGCCTGGCCCATGGCCATCACATCCAAGTGGCCCTGCATTAATAATAAGTCCCCTCATTTCACTGACCCGCCTGCCACCCCCTATTCCCCAATCCAGATCCCAGTGGCTTTGTTCAGCCCCATCTCTCCCAGCTGCTGTTGCCCCATGGCTGAGGACCCGCTCCCTCCCTTCCCGCAGTGCCTCAAGCCAGCAAACTCAGCGCAGGACTAATGCTGCAGGTGGGGAGGGGAGGAAGAAGGAGGGGTTGAAGACCACGCTGGGTTCCAGCCCCCAAAGGGAGGCAGACAGCAGCATGAGGCACAAATGGGACGAAAGGTGCAAAGTCCCTTTGGGACTGTGGTGACACCACATTTGCTCCAAGCAACGTGTGCAAGCAGCAGGTCATACTGCCTGTGCACCCCAGGCCCTGATTTGGGTGTTGTTTCTCTAGGGGACTAGCAAATGGGGCTTCTCTGGCAGCTTTCTCAGCATTGTGGGGGAAAAGCTGAGCCCCAGGTGCTAGGGAATGGTACCCAGCTCCAAGACAGGGACATGGGTCTGCATCCAGCAGCCCCTGCTAGGCAGGTTGGCCCCTGAGTGCCCACAGATGGGACCTGGGACCCGTTGAGCTCACAACAAGGCAGCAGTCTGGGGTAGGCAGCTCCATCATTCTGAGCGATGGAGAACAGCTCCAGGAGGTCATTGACCCAGCAGAACATCACACAAAGCCACTCAGAGATGGCAAACTCTTCCAGGGAAGTGGCATCCACAGCAGGGTGCCAGTAATGTGCAAATTCATAGAAATGAACACATGCACCTCATGGCATTTGTCAGGGGGTGACGGGGCAAGGGTGAGGATGAGGGTCTTGTCACTGTCAGAACAGCACAGCCTAGCTCCTGTGTGCTCCAGCGTTTACAGGCAGGTGATAAGAGAGGATTTTTTTTTCCTAGAAGTGGGCATCAGTTGTACACAAACCATGACTTTGTCCCAGTTACTTTTCCAGGGCCTTAAGTTGCAGAGGGAAAGGGAAATTGCACCTTTCGGCCTTCCAAGGATGCTCTGGGGCCAGGTTGCTCCCAAGCTGTGGGAATAGACCTGGTAGGCAGGAGTATTCCCTTTGCTGAGGGGGAAAGGGACAGGGTGAGCAGAGCAACACCCAACGCTGGGGTAGTGGACCAGGGAGGGAGCAGGGCAGGAGGGAAACCACACAGCGAGAGAGATGCAACAGAGAGTAAACTGTGGTTGGACTCACAGGGACAGCAGGTATAGGCACGTGCAGTAGGTCAGGTCAGGTGCAAGTTACACTTTAGTTTGTTATAAAGAAGGAAAAAGAAAAAAAAAAAAAAGAACATGGGCGTTTTCTTAAGGAGGAAATCGAGAGGGGGCCCAATTCCAGGGTTCCCAGGGCAGAGGAGGGAGCACATTCAGCACATGCAGCTTAACAACAGGAGGGGTGACCAGGGCTGGGGTTTTGCTGTCCTGGCTTTGGTGTACACAAGGGCTCTGAGGGTAGGACACACCATCCCCTTTCTGTCCCCAGCATCCAAACCATGAGTAAGTCTGGAGGGTCCCCCTGACTGGGAAACAGCTCTTCCCAAAGACCAGGAGATGTGCAGCCCAACCATGTGCTGCCACTCTGGGCACAAGGGACATCTGCAGCACAAAGCCCTGTCCATGCCGGCAACAAGTCCTTTTCCAGATGCTGCTTTGCTCTCTACCCTTCTGCAAAGGCCATCCAGTAGCTGGCACAGAACAAGCCAACAGAAAGGGCTGGCAGTGTTTTATCTGCAGCCAGAGGTCTGCTGGGTTAAATGCCTCGTCACTTCCCATGCATCACTCTACAGCCCAGCAACTTCAAAACACACACACACATGTACAAACTGAGCCTCCATCCTTGGGCAGCACCAAAAGAGGAAGGGATTTCCCATCCCCACCTCCACACACTGTTGAAATGAATCCCAGAGGCTGGTGCACACTGCATCTGAAGAGGCCCCAGCAGTGACTGCCACCAGGACGGCCACGGACCACTTTGTATTGAGCCAGGAACAGCAGCTATGTCCTTGGGGGCTGGATCTAGCCAATGTCACCATGCTGAGGGGTTACATGGTGCTGGGCTGACATTCTTTTCCCAGGGAGGACACAAGCCTGGGCTGCTCTGTGGTCACCCCAGAGGAAAAGCAGGAGCCAGGGTCAACCTGATGCATAACAATGTCCCTGTCCTCCCCACAGAGTCACAGCCACCAGTGCCCTTCCAATGACAGCTGGATGGGGAGACAAACCCACTCCTTCCACAGCACCCTCCTGATAGAAAAGACCCTACAATAATAAACCAACAGGCAGTACCAAAACTCCCCCATCACTCCCAGTAACCTATCAATAAATACATGGGTGGAAAATGCACATCCCATGGCAGACACCCCCTGCAGTATCTGCAGCTCAGCTCCCAGGCATGGCACCATTCCAGGAGGAGAGCAGAGTACCAGCAACCCACCAGTCATGCACCTCCCTCAGCCCCTGCTTGGCCCTATGGGGCAACACGGGGTCAGTCAGCAGGTCAGGAGGATCTGGTACCCGAAGGTTGATCTGTCCTGGCAGGCCGCCCTAGGAGAAGGGCTGGGGTGACAGAAGGAAGCTGGGTGAGGGGATGCTCTAACCTTTTCAGATAGCCTGGTTGGGAAACAGGAGGGCAAACCTGAGCCAGGGTAAGAGGCTGAGCCAGAAGAAGGAGCACAGCAGGCCCAGGGGAGCATGGGGAAGACATCAACAGTTCCCAGAACATATTCTTATCAGTAGAAGAGCCTCCATCCCCTTCCAGAGCATCGCCTTTCCCTGGGAGACCAGAGGCAAGTCCCCAAGCTCTCCCTGCCAGGCCATGGGACTGTGCCCATCCAGGCAGCGATGCTGAACCCAGCTGTCCCCAAAACCTGTGGCTGACAATCATCCCTGTGCCAGGGCTCAGCTCCAAGCATGGTCCATCAGCCCCTGGCTCTGTCCACTCCTGGCAGCACTCAGCCTCAGACAGTGCCACCATCCACAGCTCTCTGGGGTCTGCAATGAAGGCTCGCAGGAGGGGAGACTGCGAGCTCCTCTAGCTGC